ATGGTTTTGCTGTAAAAAGTATTCAAACTCTGCTGAAAAGCATGGTGCTGGTAACAGTTCAACAATCCGTGGCTGCTCATTCTTGCCTACTTTTACTCTCCCTCTGAAGCAGGTTAGCGTTGAAGGTGGTATGGAAAAGCCTGCATGCGTGTTCAATTCTTTGTTTCTTCTCCTTCCCTCTCCCTGGCCCCCCCCTCCTTCGCTCGCTCAACCTCTTTTGTTCAGTATGTGTAACTTGAAGCTAATTTGTACTACTGGATATCTGACTGGAGCCACAGATACAGAATCTGTATTGTTCTTACTGAAACACAGCATGGAATTAACATTAAACTTAAATAAAACAAACCTAAATTAAAAATGCCAAATATTATTGCGCCTCCATCTTTTATCTTTTTAAAATAAAATCTCTAGCCTAAACCCAGTGATATTATTTGCCTGAATGTGAAAAGGTCTCTTTTTCTTTCATAAATCACTTGTCTGTTTCTCAAAAATGATGTATATTTTTGGAAAAAAATGACCTGTAACCTGGCTGTGAAGAACATTAAGTAGTCCAAATCAATTCATTACCTATCCTGTCTTTAAGGATGTGGCAATCTTGGTATTGAGAGAAAACCTGCCACCCAAGAAAACGAATGAGGTAGTTAAAAGAGTGATTATTGGTGCAGGTCTTTAGAAAGATCCCTGTCACAGACAGGAAGCCTGCAGAAAGGGGACACTGTCCTATAGCTGGTTAGGAAAGGTGGAGTTTTTCAGCTCTAGGTTTAGTCACCTTTGAGGGTCAATTGATTTCTAGAGAAACTCGAGTTACCATTGTAACTTGAAGGCAGTTAATTTGTGTTTTAAATATTCTTAGTGCTTTGATTTATAAAAAGTTTTATTTATTGATTTAGAAAATTTTTTTATTGATTTCAGAGTGGAAGGGAGAGAGAGAAACATCAGTGATGAGTCACTGATCGGCTGTCTCCTGCACCCCCTCTACTGGGGATTGAGCCTGCAACCCAGGTATGTGCCCTTGACCGGAATGAAACCCGGGACCCTTCAGTCCGCAGGCCGACGCTCTGTCCACTGAGCCAAACCAGCTAGGGGTATTTATTGGTTTTAGAGAGAAACATCAATTGGCTGCTTCCTGCACGTGCCCCAACTGTGGATTGAACCTGCAACCTGGGTATGTGCCTTGACAGGGAATTGAACCCACCACCATTTTTTGTTGTTCTTTTTGGTGTACAGGTGATGTTCCAACCAACAGCCACACCAACCAGGGCTGATTTGAAAAAAGTTTCAGACTCAAATGTTTTCTAAAATGTTGGTGCCAGTAATTGGGTTGATACCTATGCTTGGGTTCTGGGATGGCTGGCCAGAAAAGCAAATCTCCAGTGTTATATTTTGCTTTTAGGAAGATGAGAATGAACTTAGGTCATTCTAAGGGGAAGTTATGGAGTAAAGCATAACTTCTAACTTGGCTCTTGACCCAGACAAGTGCCACGTAATAGTTTATAAATCAGCTGCTATGCTCTTGATCCTAGGACAATAGAGAAGAGAGAACATGCTGAAAAACTGGCATAAAGATCTTTGTTTTGAAGATTGTTACAAGTTATAGTTCACAGGGATTCCTGGTAAATTCTAAGATGGACGATTAAAGGAATTGTGATTTTTTAGAGGTGGTGATTCTGAATGCAACATGGATGAGCAAACTTCAACCTTATCTTGTTGTATATATCATAGTTACTAGGCTTATAATTGATATTGACAATAATTAGCTAACTGATTATTAACTATAGACTGGGAACTGTGCTACATTAAGATGTATTTGCAGTGTAGCACATAGGTGGTGATAATTAGGTGAGCTGTCACTTGCATTTTGCAAATAGGAAAACTGAAATAGGAACAAGTTGAACTTGCCCAAAGCCACAAAGCTGATAGTAATCAAGCAGGGTTCACAGGTAGGTTCTTATGACTAAAGAGCCCATGCTCTTAATCATTAAGCCATTCTACCTTTTTGTTCGGTATGAAAACTCAGTGTTTTATTGAAACAGTTTTCTCTATCCTAAAGTGATCATTTAAGATATGTATATATATATATATATTTTTTTTTTAAATACATTTTATTGATTTTTTACAGAGAGGAAGGGAGAGAGACAGAGAGCCAGAAACATCAATGAGAGAGAAACATCGATCAGCTGCCTCCCACACACCTCCTACTGGGGATGTGCCCGCAACCCAGGTACATGCCCTTGACCGGAATCGAACCTGGGACCTTTCAGTCCGCAGGCCGACGCTCTATCCACTGAGCCAAACCGGTTTTGGCTAAGATACGTATATTTTAACATTTCTGAAGTAAGCTTATGTTTTACAATTGAGATACCTCTTCAAAAGCTATATTCTTTTAATCATAGAATTAAAATAGAATGTAAATAATAAAGAGCTCTGAGGTGGCTACTGTCTGAAAAAGAAGAGTCAGGAAGGCTTATTACCTAGATTAATTTTTTGGCATTTGTTTTTTTATCTGTAGTTTAATTTATAAGTAAGAATTAGTATTTTTTACAGTTGGAGCAGTTCTAATTTAGGTTAGCTTGGACAAGTGAGTAATCAGTGGTTATAGGTTGTCAAATTGCCTCATTGCTGTGACAGTTTTCTAGAGAACCAAAGTCTTAATACCTTCAGGTCAACCTCATTTTTAGCCACTTTTGGTGGAAATACTTCTAAAATACATTACTTTCTAGCTTTTTACTATCTTAGTTACTGCTTTGGGGAAGATCTTAGGTTGGTACTCTTGCACCATCAGCTCACAATGAGGTTTTAGTTAAGACTTGCTATGTTTAAGGAGGGCTGCAGATTGCTTTTCTTAAAGGTTCTTTGAATTGTAGACATTTGTATCTCAATTGAAATGATGAATATGTACTTGTACAATCTGGACAGTACAAATTATGTCCAGGGGCTTCTGTCTAAAGCTATCATTGGCCGTTTTTCCAGTTAGACCTAATCTTCTGGCACTCACTTGTCACTCATGCTTCTATCCCATTTTGCTTGGTTTTGGGTCTTCTACAAAGACCTTTTGCCACTTAAAATTGTGGTGCTATAGCAGATAGGGCTTACTTCAGCACATTGGACTTCTTTCCCATTAATTGACACATCTGTGGCTATGCTAAACAGGCCATAATACCTGTTGAACACTCAGAATTTGCTTTCAATAGAATTACAGGAACAACCTTTAAAAACAAAAAAAACCCTTCATTTGCATTAAGGAGGAGTAAGCTAAAATGAGATGCTATTTTCACCTAGGCAAAGATTAGGTTACTGTTGTGAGGATGTAGAGAAACATTGTTGGGATTTTTTTAAAGTAAGTTTTTTTTTTTTTTAAAGTATAAAAAATACATTAAAAGTGTATAATTAATGAATTTTAATAAAGTGAACACAACATTTAGCTACCACTCACATCAAAAAATAGAACAGGACCGGTATCTAGAAGACTCTCATGTTTTCTCTTGGTGATTACCCCGGCAACTAAACCAGTATCTTGATCGCCGTTGATTAGTTTTACCTGTTTTTGAACTTGATATTAATGGGATCATACAACTTTCTCAACTTTGTGTTTGTGGGGTTAGTCCATGTCATTACCTAACAGTAGTGTTTTTCATGACTATAGTATTCTGTTGTGGTAGCATACCACCATGTATTCTGTGGATAGGCACTGTGTTATTTTCAATTATTGGATGTTACAAATAATGTTATGTCTTTTGGTATATACATGTATACATTAATGTTGCATATCCCTAAAAATGGAATTACTGGGTCATAGGGAATACATTTGTTCAGCTTTAGTAGATGCTGCAAAAACAGTTTTCCAAAGTGGTACTGTTTTACAGTCCTACCAGTAGTGAATGAGAATCCCATTTCTTCTACATCCTCACTGGCATTTGATATGGTCACTATTTTTAGCTGTAGCATTCTGGTGGGTTTGTATAGTAGTATCTCATTCTGGTTTTTGCATTTTCCTGGTGATTAATGAGAAAGCACTTTTTAATAGGTTTATTGGATATCTGGATATTTTGTTAAATACTCAGTTTTCCCTGTTTTTCTGTTGAGTTGTCGTTTTCCTAATGGTTTTTAGGAAGTATTTATAACTTAGAAAGTATATCTTTGGAGTTGTTATTACAGTAATCTTCCATCTGCCCTGCTTATTCATTTTCATAATGTCTTTTGATGAACAGTACTTAATTTTGATATAGTCCAGTTTATCCATATTTTCCTTAAAGGTAAGTGCTTTATATGTCCTATTTAAGAAATACTTGCCTACCCTAAGATCATTAATCTTTTATATTGTTTTTTTAAAGTAGTGTTTGACCTCTCATATCATGATCTAGAATCATCTAGAGTTTTGTTCATGATAATAGGGAGTTGTTAAAAGTATTATTTTTCTCTATAGGTTTTCAATTGATCCAGCACCATTTATTGTTCCATTGGTCTATTTGTCATAGTGCCATTGCAGTACTGTAGGTTTGAAATAACTCAAGATCTGGTCGTGTGAGTCTGAAATAACTCAAGATCTGGTCGTGTGAGTCATCCAGTTTTTTTGTTGTTGTTCAAGACTGCGTTGGTTATTCTTGGCACTTAGCATTTTTTTATACATTTTAAAACCAATCAACTTGTCAATTTCAATACTAGGACAGTAACAACAAAAGTATTTTGATTAGGATTTTATTGACTCTAGAATAAATTTGAGAACGTCTGTATAATTATGTCCTTTAATTCATCAACATTGTATACCCCTCCTTATTTATATCTTTAATTTTTTTTCAGTAATGTTTAATGTTTTGTAGTTTTCTCTGTAGACAGGTCTGGTTCCTTTTTGGGGTATTATTTCTAGTTACTTGATTTTAAAAAGTTTTTTTATTTAAATATATTTTTATTGATTTTAGAGAGGAAGAGGGGGAGAGAGAGAAAGAAAGAGAAAGAAACACCAATGATGAGGGGGAGTCATTGATCAGCTGCCTCCTGAGCCCACAACTTGGGCATATGCTCTGACCTGGATGCAAACCTGGTTCATAGGTTGACGCTCAACCACTGAGCCATGCTGGCTGGGCTTTAGTGTTATCTTAGTTTCTTTTTTTTTAATTTTCAAATTGTTGCTACTTACATTTCATGACCTTGCTAAATTAATTCTAAGTTGCATGTAGGTTCTGAGAGAGGCTTTTTAAGAGGATTATTTGACAATGTAAATGAACGTTTTAAATGCATGCACCCCTTGCTTATGTGTGTGTGCATAGAAATAGATGCAACATATTTTCATTTCAGTATTACAATAGCAAATTAGAAATAACCTAAATGCCCATCAATCGTGGTACACATTCTTACTACGTATACTATGTTGCTGTTACCAAAAAATGAGGTAAATCATTTCTGCTAATATAGAAAGATGTCTGCATATGTTAAATGAGAAAAGTAAGATACATAACATGTGTAAAATAGGAAAAATATTCTGTATGCATACTTGGCTAGCTTTAGAAAATTTCTGAAAGATACAAGTTTTTTCATCAAAAAACAGCTTTATTGAGGCATAATTGACAAAGTGCATGTATACAAACTATACAGTTCAAATTTTAGAAAATGTATACACCTTTAAAACCATTCTAATCATGACAGTCATTCACCATCAAGTTTCCTTGTACTTTGTAATTTCCTTCCTCAGCCCCCAAGCAACCCACTGATCAGCTTTCTGTTATTTTACCTTAGTTTGCATTTTCTGGAGTTTTATATATATGGTGCATAGTATATTCTTTGTAGGTGTGGTGTCTGGCTCCTTTCACTCAACATAATTGGCTTGAGGTTCATTCATCTTGTGTGTATCAGTAGTTCATTCTCTTTATTGTTGAGCAGTATTCCATTGTTATGATATACCACAATTTGTTTATTCACCTACTGATGGACATTTGGGTTTCCAGTTTTTGTTATAAATAAAGCTGCTATGAATGTTTGTGTACAAACAAGTCTTTATGTGGGGATATATTTCCTTTTTTGTTTGGATAAGTAGGAGTGGAATGTTTGGGTAATGTGGTAAGTGTATATTTAGTTTTTTAAGAAACTGTCAAATTGCTTGATAAAGTGATTGTACCATTTAACATTCCATCAGCAGTGTCTGAAGCTCCCTGTCCTCCACATGCTCTCCAGCACTTGCTATGGTCAGTCCTTAAAATTTTCCATTCTAATAGGTGTATAGTGGCATCTCATTGTGGCTTTAATTTGTATTTCTTTTTAAAATATATTTTTTATTGATTTCAGGAAGGGAGAGAGAGATAGGAACATCAATGATGATAAAGAGGATCATTGATTGGCTTCTTCCTGCATGCCCCCTACCAGGTATCGAGCCCGCAACCTGGGCATGTGCCCTTGACTGGAATCAAACCCGAGACCTTTTAGTTTGCAGGCCCACGCTCTATCCACTGAGCCAAAGCAGTTAGGGCTTAATTTGTATTTCATAATGACTAATGATGTTGAGTATCTTTTTGTGTGCTGATTTGCCATCTCTATATCTTATTTTGTGAAGTGTGATAATAATGAGTCTTTTGATTCATGAACAAGGTATCTAACAGTTTAGGCCTTCTTTAGTTTCAGCAATATATATATATAGTGTTAATCTTCACCGAGGATATTTTTCCATTGATTTTTAGAGAAAGTGGAGGGGGAGAGAGAGAAACATATATGTGAGGAGACACATTGAATGATTGCCTCCTGCATGTGCCCTGATCTGGGGGCAGGGGATCAAGCCTGCAACCAAGGTACCCTTCAGTCTGCAGGCAATATATATATTTTTAAAATATTTTATTGATTTTTTTACAGAGAGGAAGGGAGAGGGATAGAGAGTGAGAAACATCAATCATCTGCCTCCTGCATACTCCCTACTGGGGATGTGCCCGCAACCAAGGTACATGCCCTTGACCGGACTCGAACCTGGGACCCTTGATTCCGCAGGCTGATGCTCTATCCACTGAGCCAAACCGATAAGGGCCTCAGCAATATTTTTTACTCTTTTCAGATTTATTCATAAATATTTCATAATTTTTGATGTTTGTGTAAAATTCCTGCTTTTTAAAATTCAATTTTTGTTTATTGATATTTGTATATTAATCTTGTATCCTGCGACCTTGCTAAACTCATTTTTTAGTTCTAGTAGTGGTATTTTGTAGATTTCATCAGATTTTCTTCATAGAGAATCATATTGCTTGTGAATGTAGAGATTTAACTTTTTCTTCAGTCTGGAGAATTTTTGTTTATCTTGCCTGATTGCACTACCTGGAACCTCCAGTAGTACAATGTTGAATAGAAGTGGTAAGAGCAGACATCCTTGTATTGTTCCTGATTTTATGGAGGAAAGCATTTTCTTTCACTCTTAATGTTAGCTGAAAGTTTTTCATTGATGCCCATTACCAGGTTGAGGAGTTCACTGGTATTTTTAGTTTGCTAAGAGTTTTTCTCAAGAATGGAAGTTGGATTTATCAATGCCTGTTTTGCATCTAATGAGATGATAATATGGGTTTTGGTTTTTAGTTAATATAATGAATTACATTGATTGCCTTTTGAAGATTAAAACCAATCCTGTATTCCTGGGATAAACCCCAGTTATGTATTATCCTTTACATTATGTTTGGATTTGATTTACTAAAATTTTGTTTAGAATTTTTTTTATATTTATGTTCATGAGCCTATTCCTGACATTTCTGGGTTGATGAAATGTTAATAATACCAAATGTTTTTCTTCTATGGCACTAAGAACAAGATACAACAGTTGACATTCATAATAGATCTTCAAGAAGGAATGGAAGAACACTTGAATGGTAAATATGAAGGTAAATATAAAAGACTTATTTCCCACTTTCTTTAAAAATCTTGTGTTTAAAGCAAATATTAGGTCCATATTGTTAATATGTAGGCACATCATTTATATGCTAACTATAGCATAAGAGGCAGCCAAGGGGTGTTAAGTGGATCCATTTGAGTGCAAGTTTCTTAAATATTACTTGATGTAATATTAACTCTAAGAAGACCTTGAGAGACTAAGGATATATGGTAATTAATACTTAGGGCAAGCATTAGATAAAAATAATGCAAAGAGGTATAGCTAAAAACCTGTATCTAAGAAATATTTAATCCAAAAGAAGGCAAGAGAGGACAGGATCATTTGTGCTGCCAAATCTTTCAAGGAGATTTAAAGCTCAATAGACCTAATTTTGACAGTTGGGAACTTTCATTTTTTTATGGCTGCCATTTAGAAAAGAATCCTCTGAAGAATTCATAGACTTGTTCAGCAGATTATGCCATTGTGCTTTGAAACATTAAAGTCAACATTTAAAAATATGCCCAAATAATTTCCTCAAAAAATATTTTGCTGAGTGAACTGATATGATATATTTCAGCTACCATCCATTGCCAGTGAGATAGAATTTTCAGTTTGGTTTTAGCCAAGTAACTGCCTGATATAAATTGTCTTCGGAGTAACAGCAGAATTTAGATCTCATTTACAATAATCTGGATACAGTTCAAAACTGTGCATCAGAAGAAATGTGAAAACATGATCCGTAGTCAAGAGACTATCAATGAAGGATGTCCCTAAGACATGCAAATTAGCAAATAAAATTTTATTCTTGTTTTCCCACAAAGTAGATGAGGATTTTAAAGCTGCTGTTATAACTGTCCAAGGATGAAGGGAACATATGTCTATGGCAAATGAAAAGAGGAAATTTTAGCAGAGATATTGAAACTATAATAAAAAACCAGGCATTTTAGATCTTAAAAATACAATTATCTGAAATAAAAATTAGTTTGGCAAATGCTGAATAAAAAGAAAAGTTTTAGAGGATCAGTGAACTTGAAGTTAGCTCAATAGATATCCAATCTGTAGGAGAAAGAGAAAGATATATTTTTAACAATGAGCACAGCCTCATGGGACCTGTGAGATAATATCAATATTAAGAAAGTCCTAGTATACTGGAAGTAAGTGTAGTTCCAGAAGGAGAGAAGAGGAAAAATAGGATGGAAAACTTTTAAGAATGACAAAAATTTTCTCACATTTTGTGTAAGGCAAATTTACAATTCAAGAAGCCCAGTGAAAATTAAGTAAAATAACGAAAATGAACATTTTAGCACGTTATAATCAAACTGCTGTACATCAAAGAAAAAACACATTGAAAACAGCATGCATACATATTGACAAATAGACCAATTATATACAAGGGAATAATTCAAATCACTGATTTTTCATTAGAATAACAGGAGGCAGAAGACAATAGAACAGCAACATTAAAGTGCTCAAAGAGAAGAAAGCTAACCCAGAATTGTATATCTAGTGAGAACATCAAGAATGAAAGTGAAATAGACATCTATACATACATATATATATATATATATATATATATATATGCAGTCCTTGGGTTACGTCGGACTTGATGTATGTCATTTCATCGTTATGTCGCCATCTCCCATTTATTCATTAAAAAAAGTTCTGCCGAAACCGGTTTGGCTCAGTGGATAGAGTGTCGACCTGCGGACTGAAGGGTCCCAGGTTCGATTCCGGTCAAGGGCATGTACCTGGGTTGCAGGCACATCCCCAGTGGGGGGTGTGCAGGAGGCAGCTGATCAATGTTTCTCATCAATGTTTCTAACTCTCTATCTCTCTCCCTTCTTCTCTGTAAAAAATCAATAAAAAATATATATTTAAAAACAAACAAAAAAACCTGTCATTTCGACGTATGTACATATATGCTTTATGTTTTTTATTATTTATTTACCACAAGTAAAGGTCAGGAATTGTTACCTTCTAAATTTTTTTTTACTGCTTCACTTCATTACTGCTGTGTATGTGCTCCATGTGTGACATAGGTGCTTATGTAGGTAGGTTCCGACTTACGGTAAAAATTGCGTTTTGTCGTGCCATAGGAATGGATCTCCAATGTAACCCGAGGACCTACTGTGTGTGTGTGTGTATGTGTATGTGTGTTTGTGTGTGTATATCTATCTATCTATCTATCTATGCCTAAGCGACCATTCGACCGGTAGCTATGGCGTGCACTGACCATCAGGGGCAGATGCTCAACGCACAGGCATGAAAACATGGAACAGACTGATGAGTGGAGCGGGAGGGTGGAAAGAGATTAACAAAAGATCTATATGCATACTAGAGGATTCATGCACCGGTGGGGTTCCTTGGCCTGGCCTGTGGGAATCGGGCCCAAAACCAGCAATCTGACATCCCCCGAGGGGCCCTGAATTGTGAGAGGGTGCAGGCCAGGCCAAGGGACCCCACCATGCACCGGGCCTCTAGTTTTTAGATAAAAGAAAACTAAATGTGTGCAGATTTCACAATAGGAAGGCTAAAGAAAGTTCTTTTTTAAATATATTTTTATTGATTTCAGAGAGAGGAAGGGAGAGAATCGAACCGTGACCTCCTGGTTCATAGATCAACACTCAACCACTGAGCCACACAGGCTGGGCTAGCCTTTGCTTTTTGAATGGTTTCTGCCCTAGCATTCTGCAGCACTGGTCTTTGGCTTTTGCCCCTTCTTTTCCTTGGCTGGCACCTCTCCTCCTTTCCCACTGGCTCAGGGACTTATTGTGAAAGACATATTTGACCCTGTGTGCTTTGCCCACAGCCATGGTTTTACCATGTGACCTCACCCCTGGCCCTTCTACTCGAGGCGATGAGTGGTAACCTGGAGCAAGCCATTTCTCTCTGGAGAAGCTAAAGTAAGAGGACAGAAGACATTCCCAGGTAGGTGTGGAGAGCCAAGCTGAAAGCCACCCAGACTTAGGCTTGAGGCCATGCCATTTTGGATCATTTATTGGTTGATGAATCAGCTGAGAAAATGAGTGCTGAGAGAGGCAAGAGAAGGGTGCAGGGCAACGGAGAGGAGAACCCCGGAAGCTCTGAGAGATCTTGGTTTCTCAGTTTTCTGATTCCCATAAGGCAATATTTTTACACTGGCTCACACCTGGCCTCTGGGAAGCCACACAAGTGCTCCCCAGTTCCACATCTCCAGATCTTGCCTTGCTGGGGCCAGGGGACACACACAAAGGATATTGGGGCTGTGACAGATGGGAGCCCATTGGGCAAAGGTGAGTACTGCATTGGGTCAAGACTGACAATGAGGACCCTGAGGGTGAGTCCTGGGAAATCTTTCCTGGCAGAGCAGGCCATTGCTAGTTCTGGGAGCTTGGAGGCAAGTGGGGCACAACCTGTAAGGGACCTGGTAGGACCCGAGAGTGTTCTTCTAGGCCTGGCAACACCAACTGCTTTATCCAGCATCATATTGTGGAAATTAGAGTATGGGTTCTGGAGCCATAAGGCTTGGGTTCAACTCCCAGATCAGCCCTTAATTATCCTTGAGCATGCTACCTGTTTTCCCACCTGTAAAGTGGGGATTAAAACAGTATCTCATAATGATGAGGACTAAGTGAGTACATTTAGAGCAGTCTACATGTCTTACTGAGAGGTCTCTGTGTGTTATTGCCACTAATGTAACTCTGGCACCTTCTCTTAGATCCTTTTTATTTTCTTAGAGTCTTTAAGGACTCCATACTGAAATAGCACAGGAACAAATTGCCTGCCCCCAAATGGTCCTGTTCTCTCTTTGTGCTCAGGGACAGACATACGGGGTTGCTCCTTCATTGTGGTGGAATATTTAGGGGGAGAGCAGAGTCTCTGGAGGAGGCTGCCCGCCATAGCTTGTGCTGGAGCACCCTGGGGAGTCGGGGATAAGCAGTGCCTTGGCCACCTCTCAGTGTCCATAGAGGGCGGTGCTGCTCCTAGAAACCACACGTGCCTGTCCTGCTCCTCACCTGTCCCTGCCTCACACAGCCCAGGCTGAACTCGGAGCCTTCTGTCAGCCTTGCCGTAAGTGCACCACCTCATTTTGCACCCATCTTTAGACTTGTTCTGTACAGTTTTCTCGGCTGGGAGATAGAGTCTAGCACAGTGCTTGTTAATGCACCAACGAATCTTAGCCATCAGGATTAATACTGCAGCACTGGCTCCACCGGACAATGAGTCTGCTTCCCCATTCCCATTGCTGCTGGCCCTGGGTGTTGGGCACACGCCCCTCCTGGTGTAACTTTTTCTAGGTCTCTCTTCAGCCCTTGCCTGGAGCACTCTTCCTGGGGACTGGACACTAGGAAAACCATATCTTTGGCCATCCTGAGCTGTCCCTGCTCCTGGGGCCCTGAGCCCAGTAGCTGGCTTTCCTGACCCCCGCCTGCCTCTGCAGCTTTTCCCAGGCCCAGTTCCGCTATTCCTTTTCTTTCATCCTCAGCCCTCGTCTGGCTTCCTTCTATTTCTTTCTCCTCCAGTCTTCCTTTCCCCCTGTCCTTTCTTTCTCTCCTCAGGATAACCCTGTGGTCCCTGGGTTCCTTTCTCATCTGTACTCGAGGAATCTCGGGGGTTAACAGGAGTTCTGTGCACTTATCTGTTGGGCTTAGACCCAACATATCATAATCACATGCTCCAGACACATGGATGTTTCCTTTCAAACAGTGTTTATGGTGGCAGCTTTCATCCATTCATCCAGCAAAGAGAGGGCTACTCCATGCTCAGTCCTGGTGTGGAGTAACAGGTAAATAAAAAAGATGTGGTCCCAGTTCTCATGGAGGTTAGTGAGGGGAGAAAGAGATGAGCAAATATACAAGATGATTTTGTTGTTAAGTGCCATGAAGAGAGCAGGGTGATGTGGGAGAAAGTGACGGAGGTTGTCAGGGCCTCACAAAGAGGTAACACTTGAGTGAGACCTAGATGATCAGATTGCATCAGAGGACCAGGCAGTCTTCTTTGTCAAAAAATAACAGGTTCTGACTCCGGTTAAGCAGAGAAGGAATGCACCGGAAAGGTATCAGGTAGTTCAGAGAATGGGTGGGAGGCCTGGAAAATTAGGCCGGCACAGAGGCGGTTGCTAAAGGAGGCTGGTGGCCAGAACCTTGACCAGAGTCATCATCTCAGCAGGCTCTGTCAGGACCCGGCTGCCACTGCTTTGGAGACTGGACACCATTAGACTTGGAACCTGGACTCACCGGCATGCCACCCCGGGAGACCTCTGAACAGGGACTGAGTACCTGCCCCACACACAGGTTTGCTCTCCACTGGGTGGCCTGTTAGAAGTGAAGTCAGCTTCCCTCTCATGTAGAGTGAAAGCCAGCCTTTATGAAGTCCTACTTGGTTTGGTCTCCTGTACCCCTGTGTTCTCATCTATCGCTCTTCCCTTGCCCCACCCTGCTCCAGCCACATGGGCTATTCCTCAGTCACTCCACGCCTGCCCTCACCTAGAGGGGCGCTGGCTGTTCCCTTCACTTAGAATACTCTTCCCCAAGTACACCCATAGCTCCCTACCTCACCACCTCCAAGTCTTAGCTTAGAAGTCATTTCTCCAGAGGCCCATCTGATCTCCCTATGTAAGCCCAACCAATCTAGCCCACATGCCCATTTAAAAAAATCTTTGACCATATCATTATTATACTTACTGTTTATTGATTGTCTTCTTGACGAATCTGCTCTAGGAGCCTAGACCTGGGACCTAGACTAGTGCCTGGCATTAAAGTTAATACTCCACAGCTGTTCGTTGAATGGGTCACTGACAGTGTGGTATGCTGTTCCTGGTATAAAAAGTCTTGGGAAGCATGAGCTGAATTCAGGTTCTGTCACTTACCAGAGGTTCAGCCTCTCTGAACCTCAGTTTTCTCATCTGTAACATGGAAACCTACCTCAAATGAACTCTTGGTGACGAGTAAATGAGAGGAGGTCCAGTTGCCATTTTCTCATTCTTTCCTGCCCACCTATTCAAATCTATTAAATGATCTCCCAAGCCAATAGGATTGCAATGAATATTTCCATTTACTTTGGATTATATGTCATTACAAATATTAACAAATAAGACTTATAAAGGACACCTTTGGGTAGGTCAGACGAAAGTACAAAAATTGTGTGTGGGGCTGCAGTTTAAGGACGTTTTCTGCAGCCATCACATGGTAGCAAAACAGTGCTAAGCAGTGCACGAGAGTCTGTGTCGAGGACAGCCAGAGTCCATGCATCGAGAGGTTCTCAGTTGGGAAGGAACAAAGACTGGACATGCACGGGCCGGGAGGTGCAGTTCCTCGCTCTCACCCCTAGAGGTCAGGAGGTTACCGCTTCAGGGTTGGAAGACTGGCCCGTCCAGGATTGGCTAGTGCTGGCGTTGGGTGGGGTGGAGGCTAGGAAGGGAGGTGGTGGAGGTGGATGCAGCGCATTGGGAGACCCCCTGGTTACTGACACCTGACTTTGAAATGACATTTTTTTCTTTTTTGGTGTCAAGTTCCCATCTTTGTAAATCTGATGGATCAGAGGAAAGATGCCAGTTTGGGGTCAAAGGCAGAGCTTTGCAGCTTCTCAAAGAGCTTTTTCTTTAACAGATAAAACCTGCAAGTGGTCTAGAACAGCGCCAGGGTTCTGGTGAAGGGTCTGTCACTCTCTGGGGGCCCTCCTGCCCAAGGGCCCCACCCTTCACTTGGGATGGCTGTGCTTCTAGAAGCCTTGCCTCCTGTGGTCGGCTGGGACCATATTTGAAGGCCAAACCTACCTACCCTTGCACAGCCTGGGGCACTAGAGGGCCCTGGACTGGGTCCTGGGAGTCCTGGTTCTTGTCTCAGCTGAGCCTATGTATCTGATAAGGAAGCTGTACTAGGTGGACTCACAGCCCTTTCTAGCTTTGCCTTTCAGCATTTCCGTGTTTTCACAGAGGCTGTGAGTCTGCTCTCTGAATAAGTCTGCTCTCTGAATAAGGCCCTCCAAAAGACAAAGTTAAGACGATACCCAGAGCCCACCCAGACACAAGGGTTGTGAAGATTCATTAAGACAGTGCACAAAGCCTTAAAGATGGGAAAACCAAGGTTCCATGACCAGCCAAGCTTGCCAGGTACTGTGTGGGGGCTGGAGTCCCGAGTTCCCTGCAAACGGGAAAGGGCTGATGGGCACTTGGTGGGATTTACATCATCACCCCAGGCCTCAGATGGTGGTGTGCTTTGTGTTTGCAGCAGAAGGTTCGACCCCTGTGAGCCCTGCTGCTACCGTTGGTGTGTGTGGGCAGCAGGCAGGGGAGAGCCCTAGGCTGGCAGCTAGCAGGAACTCATGTGCGAGCCCAGCATCCTACTTCCCCTGAAGTGTGGTGTCCAGAGCACTGGGCTGGGGATGGGACAGGGGCCATGGAGCCTGGTATGCCCCAGCTGTGGTAAGGCTGCAAGGCCTTTCCCTCTCTGGGTTCCCTCTCCCATCAAGTGCAGTGATAGATTGAACACGGAAATTCCTTGGTTATGCATTTTTTTCATCCAGAATCCCTGAAGGCCCCTTGGTAAGCAGGGAAAGTCTGGGGCTTCAGACTCGGGCCCCAATCCTTCAACGCCTCTTTGGAGACCCTAACTCAGGGTACAGACAGGCCACAGGCAGGGTGTCTTCCTCTTAGCTTTCCTGTACTGTTGCCCAGTATTCCTGAGAGGGCAACCATCTGGGGTCCCCCCACTACAAGTCCCAAGGCCTGGGGGGGGGGAGGGGGCAGAGGAAGAGAAATGGATGTGGACAGGAGGAATTTTTGCTTCTTTTCATGCAAAACAAGGGGCCCTTTTCTGTTCTGATTACAGCTAATCTGATGCTGGGAAGAACGAGAGGCAGGGTCCATCCTCCAGGTTCCTCAGGAGGAGAAAGAGATCAAAGGTGGGCGAATTGGGTCTGAGGATTGAACTTGACCCTGCCCCAACATCAGTTTCACCACAGGGCTTCTGTCACTTCCCCCACAGCTAGGAGCCCAGGCTGGCCTGGCCACCAGGGATGGGGAGGGAGCAGGGCTGGGCACCATCGTGCCTGGGCCCCAATCCTGTCCTCACACACCCTTCCCCCAGAGAAACCCGTGAGTCCCTCATAGTGCCCCTGGCCCAACCACCATTCTCTCCCCTCCAGGTCTGTGCAGACCATCCCCACTGCCTGCACTGCCCTCCCTTTTGGCTGCCTGACACTCCACTGCCCTTCAAGGCCTTGCTGCAGCATGACCTTCTCTAGGAAGCCCTCCCAGCAGAGTCCAGAGCACCCGCAGGTGGGCTAGGCTGGCCACAGCATTCCTCACTCCCCACTGTAATGGTTCATTTCCAGCTCCTCGATTAGATGGGAAACTCCCTGAGGGCAGGCCCTGGGTTTCAGCCATCCCCAGAGGCTTGTGAAATAATCGAGGGAAGTATTTGCCAAGTGCCTACGTTCATTAGGAGTTCTGGGAAATTCACTAGACTCCTGGCTCTCAGGTTAACCTTTTCCCATCTGCCCAGTAATGCCAGAGATGAACGGATGTAGTCAGAGTCCTGTCCCCAATCTCCTCCCCCAACGCCCTCTTCCTAGTGTCTGCCTCAGGAGTTCTCACTGGACCCACCAAGGTGCCCCTGCACTCCTGTTCTCTTAGCCCTGGTCCCCTGTGCCTTACTGCTGACCTCGAGTAGGGTGCTTCCTCCTGGACAGCCCCGGCCCCATCCCTGGGGTAGGTGCTGAGGCCAAGCTCCTCTCTGGCCCTGTCAGGCCCCAGGGGTTGAAAGCAGGTGGGGCCCTCTGCCCTTGTTGTCCCTCGAGGTGGCTGGGTCCTCCATGGCCTCCAAGAAGGGGCTGCAGTGGTTCTATGTCCGAGCAGGTGTCCTGGATCTCCCCCATCGTGGGGGCCGAGGCCCTTGGTGGCAACTGAGGAAGCCCAGGGCCAGGCCTGTGTTGGGCCAAGTGACAGGCAAGGTTGGGTGCGGTGGCAGGTGGGGGCCGGTCAGTCGCTGAGCACGGCCCCAGGGAGTTCGTTGGTGAGCGTGTGCCAGCGTTCGATCCGCTTGTCCTTGTTCTTCAGGCAGTCAAACCAGTGCTTTAGGCGCTCGCCCTTGGCATTGATGCCCAGAACAACACCGCCTGCAGGAGGGAATTTCAGGGGGCAGCCAGGGGCCTGGGGCAGGTGCTCTCACGATCCCATCCCTCTGGAACCAGTGCCCCCCTCCCCTTCCCAGGTTCCATGACCCAAGGCTGGACTTTGCACCTTGCCCACAGGGCTCTAAGGGTGGACAGTAGTCTTACTGCCATGCCACACTCTTGGCCCTCAAGATCAGGGCCCGGGACCCTGCCCTTCCTCTACCCAGGACCAAGGGAGAGAGACAAAAAAGAGCCAAAAGGGCCAGGACAGCAGCTCTACTGTGTGCAGCCACCAAGCCCACAGGGATTCGGGGCTACAAGGGGTCAGAGTTCAGCCCGAGGCGTGGACCATCACCACCTCTCACGCTTGCTCCACCACAGACTCCTGTGTGACCCTCCCGGCCTGTCTCTTCCTCTGCCACACGGAGCTGGGCTGGATAACGTCTGAAGCTCCTCGTGTGGGGGCAGGCGGTCTGTGAACCCAGATTGCTCCAAGCCATTTCCTCTTACCAATGAAATCATTGGATTTTCCAATGTCGTAATCCCAAACGGTGACCTCCAGGGTCTTCTTGGCCAGGTCCCCATGCTTAATCTCATAACAGAACTCCTGGTGGCCAGAAGGGGAGAGTCAGGGCTAATGCCACACGGCCAAGAGTGCCCTGAGGTATGGGGAGGGCATGAACTGAGGGAGGGGTGGGTGAATGGAAGGTGGTCAGTGCCTGGTGGTGGACAATGGTGGATTCTCATCCATCTTGTCCACGTATGCCTGAGAGCCTGGCCGGGGTCCTCAGGGCCCCCTTCACTCCAACCCACCTGCCCCTTTGACACTGAAGCCTCTCTCTCAAGATTCCCAGGGCCTCCTGTTGCCAGATCAACTCACGTTTGCCAGTCTTGGTGTCCTTGACTTCTCTTGGGTCTGGCTATGCTGACCACTGGCTTCCATGGTGCTGTGCTCTCTGGTGTCCCCCTCGCCCTCTGGAAGCGCCGCCTTTGCCTGCCCCCCGCATTGCTCAGGCTCTGCCTGAGGCCCCTGTGCTCCTCGCCATGATCATGTCTCCCTTAGAGCTTCTCCATCTCCCTCACACCTCCTGCTCCACTTTTTTTTTTTTTAATATATTTTATTGATTTTTTTAGAGAGGAAGGGAGAGGGATATAGAGAGTTAGAAACATCCATGAGAGAGAAACATCCATCAGCTGCCTCCTGCATACCCCCTACTGGGGATGTGCCCTCAACCAAGGTACATGCCCTTGACCGGAATCGAACCTGGGACTCTTCAGTCCACAGGCTGACGCTCTAGCCATTGAGCCAAACTGGTCAGGGCCCCTGCTCCACTTTCAACTCCACATCCAATGTAGCCACAATCCCGTCAATTCCACCCTCTGAAAATCTTTCTAGGCTGCTCCCTCCCCTCCGTGTGCATCACTTCGGCCTGGTTCAGCCTGGCCGGAGCCTCTCCCCTGCGCCCCAAAGCTGGGGGCTCTCCCGTAAGCGCCCCCCCCTCCCGCTGTGACCCTTGAGAACCCAGTCCCTCCCAGGGAGAGAGGGAGAGAGGGAGAGGACCTCCTGCGGCTTCACCCGCCCCTGGTACCTCGTTGAACTCCGGGTTCAGGGTCTTCTTCTTGACTGCTGTCTTATGTTTGGATTTCTTGTCCACATCTGGCTTCAGATATCTGGAATTACAACCGATGGATAGGCAGGCAGGGGGTGGGGAGAAGCTGTGGGTACAGATGGAGCCAGCAGGGCTTGGAGAGGAGCACTTTGTCCCTGGAGAGATACTCAAGGCCTCCCCATTCATCCTAATCCTCAGAGTCTCCAGCACGTCTCTGTGGCTAAGCTGGCGGTCAGCTACAGTGGAAGCAGTATGGGGCTCCCTCCACACCTGGAGCCTCTATCCCTCCAGGAGAGAGGATGTTCCTTGTGTCTGCAAGTGTAATGTTCACAAAGCTCACATGCCTCACCAGGAAAATATTTTTAGCAGAGTCAATCCCTTGTTAGAGCTTTTTTTTTTTTTTTTTTTTTTAAGAATAGCAGATTTGTTGAGCTATAATCCACATACTATAAACTTCATCATTCTAAAGTGCAAAATAGCGGTCTTTGGTCTATTCCCAGAGCTGTGCAGCCATTGCTGCTATCTTGCTGGAGCTCTGAGAAAGGAAAGGCCTTTGGGCAGCAGCAACAATGCTTCCTAAGGGAGAGGGCAGCTGGGCTATGAACCAGCTTCTCCATGGACATTAGCTCCTTAGACTCTGGGGCCTTCATCTGAGGCTCAAGGGGGCAGAGGGAGCTGCTCAGCACAGGACTGGTGTTCAGAAGCCGGGACAGGAAGCGCAGAACCTCCCCTTTACAGAACCTCTCACCCTGTTTCTATAGATAACTGAGGAACCATTGCTCTGCCCTTGCTGGAGGTACTCTGGGGGTGAGGACCACATCTATCTCACCCACCACCAGCTTCCTGGCACTGGGTAGGTCAATGAACATCTGTTGAATGAATTACTGAATTCCTAGAAGTGAAACTACCCGCCCAAAGCCACACACGTGTCAAGCTTCTTCCTTCACTTTGCCAAACTGACCTCCAGAAAGGCCGTACAGTTGACATGCAGTGCCCTTGACAAAGTGGCGTACCATCACCTTAAAATCGGCATCATGCAGAGTGAGAAGACTTTTGTTTCTTCCCTTAAATTTATAACAAGTTGGACAACTGTAACTCAATAAAGGATCCCCTGCTCAACACAAACATGCTTGAGAGATTCATGCCTCTGAAGGTGGGCATACTGGAGTGAGCAGGGAGGCGGGCAGGGGAAGGACAGGGATGGTAGCCACATATGCAGTGTGGCGCCTACCACAGCTCCAGAGTAGGGCAGAAGCAGTGTTCTCCCAGGAAGAGGCACCCCTCTCCTCCCCCGCTTCCCATCACAGCAGACCCCGGTAGAGGTGCTGGGAAGTCTTAAACAGCAGAGCAGGGCCGACCGACAGCCATTGCTGGCAGGGACTGGGGCTGTGGAACATGAACTTGATTCCTCTCCTCCCCAGCCGGCCCCCTTATGCGTGCGCGCACACACACACACACACACACACACACTCACTCACTCATACTCTACCCATCCTGGCAGAGCCTGGTAGAGGCAGTGGAAATGCTTCCAAAACACAGTGGGGGCAGTGACCATGAGTAAAAGGGAGGTGGTGCTGGGAGCTCACAAAACCAGTCCACCACCCACCACATTCCCCCACCACAGTGGAGGTGATCCCCACCATCCCAGTGAGTGTGCAGTATTTTCCTTAACCGGCTGATGCTGCTCCACAGTGATCCCAGAGGCCCAAACAGTGCCGGTAACAGAAAATAAAACTTTAACACCATCTGCTGGGGACCAAAAGAAAGTACCCTACCTGCTGAATTGTTGAGAACAAAACAGTAGATAAGAAATGAGTTCACTACCCCAAATGGGTGGGCAGACAATCCATCAAATACCATGAGCAACCAAGGTACCGTGGGAACACAGAAAGAAAATAGTCTCCAAAAAACCCCTCAAAGTCCTGGCAGACTGACTTAAATGGCAGAGAATTTCAGGTTGCAGTTGTAAAGAACCTCAATGAGACGCACGAGAACTCAGAAAGGCAGCTTAATGAGCTCAGATATAAAATCTGTGAACAAAAGGAGTACTTTACTAAAGAGATTGGAATTACAAAAAGAACCAAACTGAATTTCTGGAACTGCAAAATGCAGTAAATGAGACGAGGAAGGCGTTAGAGAGCACCGGCAATAGAGGAGATCACTTGGAAGAGGGATCTGAAGATAGAAACCCAGAACTAAGTCAGGAGGATGAGGAGAGAAAACTAAGTTTAAAAAATGAGTGAGCCCAGCTTATGTTGCTAAGTTGGTTGAGCATCCTCCCATGCACCAAAAGGTCACCGGTTCGATTCCCAGTCAAGGCACATGCCTAGGTTGTGGGTTCAATCTCCGGTCAGGGTGTGTGCAGGAGGCAACCGATAGCTGTTTCTCATATTGATGTTTTTCACTCTCTTCCTCTTCCTCTCTCTAAAATTAATAAAAACATTTTAATAACAGTATACAGAATTTTGAGTAAAATGACTAACAGCAGGAAATAGCAATTCTACTTCAGAATAGGATTTTAAATAATTAAAGGTTACAGGGGAAAAGGGGGCATTAAAAATAACCAGAATGGCTGCAATTTTGTAACAAATGTAGAACATAACTTATAACAAAATCATAAAAATGGAGTTGCCATTAGGAGGACTATTGTATGTATGATACACTGTACACTAACCTAATGACAACCACAAAACAAAAACCCAGAGCTGAGATGTGAAACATAAATGAGAAAACAGAAACAAATCATAGAAAACTGCTAAACTAAAATAGCAGATGGAATCACAATGGAAAAGAAACAATGGAAATACAGAGCAACCAGGAAATAAAAGACAGCCCTGGCTGGTTTGGCTCAGTGGATAGAGCATCGACCTGTGGACTGAAAGGTTCCAGGTTCAATTCCAGTCCAGGGCACTTGCCTGGGTTGTGAGCTCGATCCCCACAAGGGGGCGTGCAGGAGGCAGCCAATCAATGATTCATCATTGATGTTTCTATCTCTCCTCCCTTTGTCTCTGAAATCAATAAAAATATATTTTAAAAAAAAGATAAAATGGCTAAAGCAAGTCCTCATGTATCAATATCACCCTAAATATAAACAGATTGAACTTACCAATCAAAGGACACAGAGTAGAGAGATGGGTTTAAAAACAAGACCCAGCTACATGTTGCCTCCAGGAGACTCGGCTCCAAAGACAAACATAGGCTGGCAGTGAAGGGCTGGAAGATGATCCTCTAAGCCAGCGGTTCTCAACCTGTGGTTCGCCAACCTGTGGGTCGTGGCCCCTTTGGGGGTCGAACGATCCTTTCAAAGGGTCGCCTAAGACCATCGGAAAACACATATATAATTACAGATTGTTTTTGTGATTAATCACTATGCTTTAATTATGTTCAGTTTGTAACAATGAAAATACATCCTGCATATCAGATATTTACATTACGATTCATAACAGTAGCAAAATTACAGTTATAAAGTAGCAATGAAAATAATTTTATGGTTGGGGGTCACCACAACATGAGGAACTGTATTAAAGTGTTGCGGCATTAGGAAGGTTGAGAACCACTGTATATGTGTTTTCTGATGGTCTTAGGCGACCCCTGTGAAAGGGTCGTTCTACCCCCAAAGGGGTCGCAACCCACAGGTTGGCGACCAACAGGTTGAGAACCGCTGCTCTAAGCACATGGCATCCAGAGAAAAGGGTGTAGTACTTCTATCAGACATAATGGGCTCCAAGATAAAAAAGGTAACAAGAGACAAAGATGCACATTTTATAATGATAAAGGAGATAATTCATCAAGAAGAGATAACACATCCTATCTAATAAAAGACAAAAAGGGTAATTAACTGTACCTCCGGTACGCTTCCCATTGGCTAATCAGCAAGATATGCAAATTAACTGCCAACAAAGATGGCAGCCACGCAGCTGAAGCGAGCAGGAGGTTTGCTTGCTCCAGTGATGGAGGAAGCCAAGGTTCCCCGCCTGCGGGGCCTGCTCTAAGCTCTGAAAGCAAAAGCAACAAAGTTTCAATTATAGAAGCTAGACAAATCCCAGATACCTGCTTTCAGCCAGCCACGGCCTCAGAGCTGGGAGTGCCAGTGAAGGCAACAGAGTTTCAATTATGGAAGGTAAATAAATCCCAGAATAAAAAAAAAAGAAAAAAAGGAGAGGCTGGGAGCTTCAGTTGCAGGCCAGCCTGAAAACGGCCCTCAGCCCCTCACCCAGACTGGCGAGGCACCCCAGTGGGGACCCCCACCCTGAAGGGGGTGTGACCAGCTGCAAACAGCCATCAGCCCCTCACCCAGGCTGGCCAGGCACCCAAGCGGGACCCTCACCCTGATCCAGAACACCCTTCAGGGCAAACCAGCTGGCCCACACCCATGCACCAGGCCTCTATCCTATATAGTAAAAGGGTAATATGCAAACTGACCCTAACAGCAGAAAGACTGGGAATGACTGGTCACTATGACACACACTGACCACCAGGGGGCAGATGCTCGATGCAGGAGCTGTCCCCTAGTGGTCAGTGTGCTCCCACATGGGGGAGCTCTGCTCAGCCACAAGCCAGGCTGCTGGCTGCCGGTACAGCAGTGGTGGTGGGAGCCTCTCCTGCCTCCTCAGCAGCGCTAAGGATGTCCGACTGCAGCTTAGGCCTGCTCCCTGCTGGCAATTAGGACATCCCCCGAGGGCTGCCAGGCTGCCAGAGGGATGTCTGATTGTCAGCTTAGGCCCAATCCCCCAGGGAGCAGGCCTAAGCCAGCAGGTGGTCATCCCCCGAGGGGTCCCAGACTGCGAGAGGGCACAGGCTGGGCTGAGCGACCCTCCCCCCCGAGTGCACAAATTTTTGTGCACCAGGCCTCTAGTTACTATATATGCACCCAACCTGGGAGCACCAAGTTATATAAAGCAATTACTAACAGACCTAAAGGGACAAACAAACAAAAATACAATTAAAGTAGGGGACATGAATACTCCATTGACAGCTATAAATAGATAAACAGAAAGTCAATAAGGAAATATCAGCATTAAATGACACATTAGACCAAATGTCTTAATTGATATTTATAGA